TGCTTTCTTGTTGGGGTTCGTCAACATAGCAATCGGTGAACTGATCATACATAAATACATATTTCATGGACACTGGAAAGTATCAAAGGAGACACACATACCGGATGTCACCACTCGAAATCCATTCATCCTGCTTCACAACCAAATCATGAAGTTTTTCAACTCCATATTCCATCCCTTCTATGTTCAACATTGGAACGTTCACCTCCGAATTTGATATATTAATCTAACTCTCATTTTCATCTGTACTGTTTTTTTCCATTGATGGTGACTGTATATATTTGTTATCTGATCCCAATTGTGATGCTCGATATGTCTCAACGACTTCTTGTAGTGAATCACCTTTTATATACTCTTCGGTTGATTCGTAAAATTGATTATATATGCTATTGCTCGGCGTAATCCATAAGTTGAATCTTTAATATCTTTTCAGGAAAAAATGCACCATATACCAAACGTTCATCACTTAATAAAAAATTGTATGTTTCAACAGCTTGAGTCTAAACAAATAAGCAAATATAAGAGAAAGTATAAAATCTAGTGAAAATGATGGTTTACTGTCGGTAATATTTCAAAGCCAATTTAAGATCTTTGATATATTTAATTGTTTCTTTCGGTAACTGACTGTTTGGTGAACCAATTCCTGATATAAAAATATCTAAAGGAAGAAAGAAATGAAAAATTGAGATTAATGACATGAGAAAGCTGAGTTTAATATATCCAGTTTCGATTACATCGATAAAGACTCGGGTGTCATATCTTTTAGTTCATAAACCTACAAGAAAACTGATGTATTTTTGTTGTTTTTTTCGGCAAAATTTTAATTATTTCTGCTCAATACCCACATTCCAACAAATAAATTGTCTGGGAAAAGCAAACACTGCACCGACAATTCGCATTTCGTTGTTCAACTGAAATCCATCATTATATAAACCACTAATTAATGGTTTGATGTTTTTGTCCTCTTCTTTATCTACTGCAGTTATTGTATTTGGCTCATACTTTTCGGATGGATAACCCATTCTTCCTTCAGCTGGTAAACGAAGATAGAGGGTTAAAAATATTGATCGTTGTTGTGAATATATTTTTATCTGCTTTAATAATGATTTTATCATGGAATCATTGACAATAGTAGAATATTGACGTGTTCTTCGCAAGCATATGAACATCGGTCGTGAATAATTTCTAATGAAGGAACCTCCCCAGGTGATACCCTCCGTTTTCCTTAGTTCATACCTCATTTGATAGAGGGCATCGAGCTGACAAAAACCCTAAATGGGTTTCTGCGGAGGGCTCTTGAAGACCCGGTTTTCTGGAAAACCAGTTTTTCAGAAACTCTAAAAGCAACTGAAACGTTTTCTTAATCAGTTACGATTGTAGCCCGCAAATTTCTGATTAAAATGAGACATTCCCCAGCTCTACACGATCTTTCTTTGCAAAGTTATAGAATTTACAAGAAAAGTCCTGAATGTTCATTGTCAGCTCAAAGCTAAGATGCCGCTAAGGTAGAATTGGAGCAGATTTTAGATTTGCCTCATTTATACCTCATTCGATGCAGTTTTCAACGCTGATCACGAATATGTGGTCGCGAGATATTTTAGACAAAGTTTTCCCCGTCAAAAACTCGAAAAACTTT